ATTAATGCATACTAATCTCTCTTGCTTGAGATTTCATATGAAAGAATCAGTCTGGGTTATTGATGATTCTGGTTTGTCTTCATTAGTCTATCACTTAAGATAAAGCAAGGATAATAAATTGTCAGAAAGCATCTACAACAATTCATTTAGACTTACAACAATTCATTTAGTGGTTGTTTGAAGTTACAATGGCACTCAGTAACCTAATGACCATTTTTCACACTTACGACTGTTGCAGCATCCCCATGGTTCAGTATGTGACCAGTTCGGCCAAACCAGTAGTAAAAAAAAGCCTCCTGACAATCAGCCGAGAGGAGAAAGAAGAGAAAAGTACAGGATCACCCACCCCACCCCACCCGTCCTTGCACTTTTCTCTTCTCAGCTGATTGCACTGCAGGCCTCAGCTGGTGTGCAGAAAGCTGCACGGGCACGTTAGGAGCCCGGGCACGTGATCACCGAACCAGTAGTGGAACAGGCAGGATCCCACTGCTGCCAATGGTTGCGTAGTCAGAATTTAGACACTTGTCAACTGGCTCATATTTATGGTGGTTGCAGTGTCCCAGAGTCATGTGCTCACCTTTTGCAACCTTCTGACAAGCAAAGTCAATAGGAAAGCCAGATTCATTGAATTGTGGCAAGAAAAATGGGGCAAAACTTACTTAGCAAGTGTCTCGCTTAATAACAGAAACTACAGGCTCAATTGTGGTTATATATCAGAGATTACTTGCATATCCTTTATTTCTTGTATTTATTACAAAGGGGGTGATACTGTATCATTTTTAATAGTTATGTATTTGTTTTTGACATCCATGTGGATTTAAAGCCATAGCTTATCAATTCTAGGCAAGCCTATAGGGTGAAAAAAAATCTTAGCTAAACAGCAACTAGTTACCTAAAGCCCTATTTAAATAGCTGGATTTTTTTTTACACCTAAGGGAAGGCAACCTATTTTCCAAAATGTAGAACACTACCTTTTTTTTTTTTCAGATTTGTCATAGGACATAATCAGAAAGACCCCTGCAATTAAAGCTGAAATACATAACACTTTTATAGAGAGGACAGAGAAAAGTCCACTTGTCTTAGATTTGTACCCCTACAAGATATATTTCAGCTGCTATCAACAAAAGCATTTATATCAACAGGACTTCTTTCTGAAGCCCTATGTATACCAATATCATGTCTGCAGATCCTCTTTCATGTGCCTCATTGCCTACCGTCCTAAACAATTGTTTGCCTAAGGTTTATAAATACTCGCATTACAAGATGATACAATGCAGTCCTAAACACTACCACTTAATTGCATCATTAAAAGAATCAAATTAGGAGTGTTACCTTTCAGGCTTCTTGTAATACAACCTCTACTTTGTGCTATTAAATTCTAGAGCTACTGAGTATATGGATTTCAAATAACAGAACTTGAGCGTTATTTTCTTTAGCATTAATATGAAAATATCACACATGACCATATTGAAACTCAGCAGCTGACTTCCCCCGGGCTACTAATTCCAGATGCAGTATTTTCCAGATACCAGCTGTACTGCTGCCAGATCTCAGAACCCACAGATCACATGATGACTTTGCATTTCTCACCATTGGGAGGAAAGCTAGTAACCAGTTCAGAGAAGCTTAGGAAACCAAAGAAAATAGAGGTTTGGAACAGAATGCAGGTGGATTTTGTCACTGGCATACCAAAGTACTGAAAATTATTTTAGCTACATTGCAGCCTTTTGGATTTCTAGTAACAAAAAACATAATAAGATCAAGCAAAATAAATATCATCTAGGATTGGTATTACGTGTTAAAACATGCCCTACCTTAGTTGCTATTTTATCAACATTAGTAAGAACATTTTGGAAATGAGAAATGATCTACAAAGAAAGGATGCAATGAAAGTTATTTCACACTTTATCTGTTAAATGTGAAGCTGGGCCTCTTACAAAGTGGAGGATTGTGTAGGATTGGAGCATTAAGGGATAGAGAAGTACCAGTCCTTAAAATAGGATTAACCAAAGGATGTCTTTGTTCTTTTTGAGAACTGTTAAACGTCATTGGAAAAATATGGGAGTGTAAGAAACTTGGCAAGAAAGTTCCATTTTGAAGGTTTTGATAAGAAACATACCTGACTCTGCTGAAGCAGATAGGGCTTATCAATATAGTATACTAAAAAAACTAGTAAATGAAGAATTCCATTGGCATTATGCATTTTTTAACTCGGTAGACAACTAAGAAACACCATCTCAGGTTTCATCTGTTCTGAACCTAGAGCAACCACAGAGTATAGAACACACATTTTTTCCTTAAAGCCAATTATAGCCTATGGGACAGTGATAAGTCTTCATTCTACTGAAACTCAACCTTACATCAGTGACTACTTAACAGGAGAAGTGTCACAAATTTGATACTGTAAGGTATTTTTCTTTGCACACGTAGGAATACACACACACACACACACACACACACACACGATCTGCTTATAGATACACCTTGTTTAATGACCGACCTATTTAATCACCATTCGAATTTATGACACCACTGAAAAAGTACCTTTACAATGGGTCCACACATTCACAACCATCATCCCAGTCATATGATTGGCATTCAGGTGCTTCACAATTGGTGTGTGTTTATCACCATTGCAGCATCTTATGGTCACATGATTGCTATTTGTGAACTTCATACCTGGATTCCAACAAGCAGAGTCAATGGAGAAGTAGGTTACGGTTGTGTAATGTCTCACTTAACCAACCTCAAGTGATTCTTTCAACAACCGCAGCAAAAATGACTTAAGTCCATCACCATCACATTTTGCTTAGTGATCAAATTGCTTGATGTGTGTGTTTGCCCAGAGTTAAATCCTAAGCCTTTTCCATCTGCTCCTTCCAGTAGAAGGACTTTACATCACTTGTTTCCCAAAATTGAGATTGCAACCCCCTCATTTGATCTTACACAATAGTTCTACCTGGCCTGAGCAGCTGATTTCAGTCTTTACAAGAAGCAGGAAAATCACCAAACTACCCATCACCACTACCCATCAGTTCCATCCATACACTTAATACCCCTGACAAAAAGGTTGTTTACTACTTCCTCCTTCCCTCTTTTATTCTTTCCACCTAGGCAGCTAATAGGGGCAATAGCAAGAGTGTTTTCCACTCTCATAGCATCTTACAAACTGCAGATTGATCTGTCAGCACAGTATCCAGCATGAATGCAGATGTACAGTATGTGTGTATATATGTATTTAATTTGTATGCTGCTTGATTCCCAGTGGCTCTGATGGCATTCTTCTGTAACATTGCCTCCTTTTATTTTCCAGCAGAACTCATATGTCTTTTATACTTCTTGCTAGTTATGTAGCATCCTAAGCCTGTAAGAAAGTAAAGGAAGAAATTACAACTGTTGTTTTGCTGTCCACCATGCAGCTTTCAAAAGCATTCTCTGTCTCTAATAAATAAAGCTTGAATTGTTTCAGCTATTTTCCCTGACTTTAAAAGGGATAAAGAGATAGAGGTGAATCCATCCAGCTTCCTCATCTAGCTCACTTCAGGGATTCTCATGCAAGGCCTCACTGTCATGAACCCTATAAACAAGAATTCATGTTTGCTACTGCACATCTTGCAGTATAAATCATTGCGCTATAAATCATTGTTTTTTTAATAATGGGCTTTTGAATAAGCCTTAGCCAGATTCACACAATACATTAATCTATAAATCATTGTTTACAAGTCGCAACAATTGGGTTCATGAAGCATGCTCCACTGAAACCAAACAACCATATTATTTAAGGAAGATGCTCATTATGATTGAGTCAACATGTTTGGTTTGTGTGTGATTTATAAAGGATTTGGGGTTTTTTTGTTGACTAAAGAAAAGCAGCCCAGGGTTTTGTTGTTTTTGTCTCTTTGTTAAATTTTGACTATACATTATATATTATACAAGTCCATCCAGAGAAATTTATACATTTCTATGATCAGACACAATATTTGTATCGTTTAGATTTGATGCACAAATAGCTTGTTCTTGCCTTTCTACACATTTTGTTTTGAATGGGCCAGGATACTAGCACATTCTTTGTTCACTTATTTAGAAAATTTATACAGCTGCCCATCTTATGTATATAACTCCGGAGGTGAACAATATACGCACAAAAAAGAATTTTGGAAAAAAAACTCCAAACCCATTAAAATAGTACTATTCAAAGAAAAACAAATAATCAACTACCGGTACATAATAGTTCTATAAAACGCACAAATGTATTTATCTCTCTTAGTAAGAATAAGAAATAAATATTGGGCAATATAAAGATCAATTGTTTCTTCCACATATTATTCAAACCATCACAAAACGTATTCTGAAATAATTTGCAAGCTTTCTGGTTTGACTTTTGACTGTTCTACTAGCACTTGATTGATAGCAAATTTATCTAGGCTGACTAAAGTAAAATTATACTAATAGAGAACACTTTCCCTAAAAGAAATCTTGGAAGTTGTCAAGCTATACAATTTATATTCAAGAGGAGAATGTTGGGATGTTTACTGGACTTCGATAACATTTTCAAAAACAAAAATTATGTTTAGGAGGCCTGGCTAAGAATGGCAACGTAACAAGGAGTTTAAGGCAAATATGCAAGCATTTTTATCAGTAGATTCTTATGAGAAGCATTCCTGAATGTGGAAAGTATAAAAAATAAGGACATTCTGTTCTCAGAATGCAAGATACTCAAGAGGCTGCTTGGCAGAGCACGTGATGCACCAAGTTGTACCATTTAGTTGAGAAACCAGGTGCTGCAACTTCAGGAAGTCTATAAAAGTGTAATTGTGTGTATATTACTCTAATGTCCATAAAAGCGAGATGGACAGCAAACAGATTTAATAATAAAACAAAAGCATGCAAAATATGATTTTAGGCAGGGAACGTCATTAATTGAATAGAGCGTTGAGTTCATTTTCACGTTAAAAAGTTACTGTATCTAAACCTATTGTCTTTCTTCCTTTTTATTGTAGGAATCTGAGCTTTTGACCATGGAATTTGATGAGACTGAATTGAATGAAATGTTGAAGAAACTTTCAGAGATTGAAGACAGCATTATTTCTCTGACCCAAGCACCCTGACTTTTCAGTTAAAACAGTGTTTGATTCATACACTGTATGCATAAGGTTGGCCTTAGTTACACGTGTACATTATCCTGGACATCATGCTGTTCTTTCAGCAGTATTTGAAAACTTATAAATATGGGATCAAAGAAGAAGAAAAAATATAACTGAGGCATTCAGACTGATGTACATATTAAAACAAAAGAACATCGCTGGATTCATTGAAAGAAAATACTGCTCCAGAAAAATGTAGAATTTGTATAATAAAAGAGCAAATATATTCACCTTTCCATTATTGACATCACTGTGTGATTTATTTATCCAGCCACTGAAAAACAATTTGTAGCAATGGCTGCTGTATATTTGTAGAACCAGGAGAGGGAATTCCATTTAAAAAAATTGTCTTTCTTATTTGCTTCATATTTTCATCAGTTCAGAAAGTGTTGTTACTTGAAGAAAATGAAACAGTAGTGTATTTTAGTTTCATCTTCTCTTTCTGGGACCTTGTGGGAAATTGTAGATTCCATGTTAGAAATAATTCTTTAGTTATTAACTAATATTTAGTTATTAACTATTCTGTTGCATTAGGGTGCAATACATCTTCCATCTCTGTAGCACAAAACCTAGCTATAGACACTATAACAAAAGGTGGTCATTTAAAAAAAGCTATATAGCATTCATTTGCAATAGAAAGTAAATACTGTATGTATTCACAAGCATTTTCAGCATTAACTGTTTCATTATCTCAGCAGTATGGTATTGAATACTTCAGAATTTATTGAAAATGTAGAGTATATGGACAAAACATTAAAAAGAAATGGGTATCAAATCTAGAATGTCTTAATGCTTCCAATCTAAATTCTTTTATGCCAAACCACCTTCTCTTCCACTTAGTTTTCTTGTGCTACTCAGCTTGGTCCTCTGAAAAACAGATCTTATTTTTAAATGTTGCCTTAGAAACTAGCCTTGAAATGTTTCTTCCAGAAAATGTGCTTTCCACTCGACGATACAGCTATTGAGTTTTTTTAATATCTTGTCTACCAGACTATCTGTACAATACACAGTAACTCCTTTTATACCAAGCAGTCATATTCCTATGTGGTGATTTATACCATAGTGTACTATACTATGGTAGATATCATAGTATCTACCCTGATATTATGCAATATAAACTAATGACTTCTCAAGTGAGCCTTCTCAGTTATCTTTGTGCATATCTGAATAAAATCTGCAATAGCTCTTTTTAGAAAATCAGTATCTATGCAGGTACAAACAAAATAATTTGCAGAAGTTGATCTATTACTGTCTATTTCTGTCTTTTGGTATTCTCAAATCCTATAAACACTCATCAAGCTCATTAACATTAGAGAAATAAACACTTAAAGAACTGTGTATTGCATGTATTTACCATACACATATATTCTCATGACATTATTAAATGGCTTATTGACTATTTGTAGAAATCCAAACATAAAATAACTTTACACTTTAAACTGCCCTTCTTCAGCTTGGTGTCCTCCAAAGACCTTCAGATTACAAGCCTCAGAATTTCCAACCAGTTACAAATTACAACCCCAAGGGCAGGTAGTTCGAGAAAGTTCTTTCAAAGCATAATATTTAGCCTCTGTTTAAAATAGTTACATTGTTTACATAGGTGTTATTTTAATTTGGTTTCATATAGAGTTGTATTAAGTAATTATTAATTCTGATTTGTGTGGTTACTGATGAGCATGGATACAAAATGAAAGTTTTCTCTATATTGTTTATGAGGCAAGAGATTCGCTTTTTTTTGTTTATCTGAATCTTGGAAATTAAAACCTCATTGCATTCTTCATCTGTTATTTTTAAAATATGTTGTCTTTTCCAATACTGATATCACTGTGTGGTTTATTCATCCAGTCACTAAACCTCATTTTCCTACATTACTTCCAGTTTTCTACATTACTTTCCAACATTACTTCCAGTTATTTCCTACAGTACTTCCTACTTTCCTGCATTACTTCTAGACTGTTAGTGGGTCCTGATCCTATCAGCCATAACAGTGCCTCTAAAACAACTTTATCTTGAGCTATTCTGTAACTGTTTAATTTTTTTTAATTTTCTGAATATTTTCAGATAAAAGCAGGGAGGGAGGGAGGAAGAAATTATCCAACCAAGACCTCAAATTTAGCCTATAATAATAGTCATTATTATATATTGAAATACCAGTTATTTTTGAAATCCTATCTGCAGATAATTTTTGGTCTATTTTTGATTTTTGTTTTATTTTTTAATTCTATGAAGTCTTTGTTTTCTCTGCTTCTAAAGGCAGAATCATGTCTATCTTGTGTTCTGTATAATCATGCAAGTATATTTAAAAGCTTCAAAACATTTATCAGTCTTCTACATTTTAAAAAACCTATTTTTAATTTGTTAAGATACAGTTCCTGAAGTTCACACTAGTATTTTTCCTGAACATCTTTTTTCCTCTACTTCCTGGAATTTTATATGGGTTGTATATTCTAAATATTTAGAAAGAGTAGCTTAGTTTAGCAGTGGAGAGTTATGGTTATTCACATAGAAAGCCTTTTAAGGAGATAACTTAACATGGCAATAGCAAGATTCTGGGTAAACTCTGTCCTTTTCCAGCAGCCAGTCTGGAACTGCATTTCCTCCATCATATTATAGTGAAGAAAGGTATCATGAATGTTTGTAATTTTGAAAAGAATAAATAGATGGGTGGAAGAGACTTTGAAAATAAATACAGGCAGTTGTATAAATAGAAAGCACAGTATAGCTATAGACAGACAGACAGCATCTAAAGAACAGAAATAAATTAGAAACTACATTTCAGCTCCATGCTACGCTTGTGAACTTCTGGGTGCACCTGGCTGGCTTAGCAATTATCTTAAATGCAGTATTTGCTTAAAGGAAAGTACCTTGCTATGATTTAATTGGGCATTCTGTGTAGAGTGATCCATACTTAAAGTTTCTGGATGCTATTGAAAGAAATTGAACTACCCCATAATCATTCTGTTTGCTTCATATAAATTCCTATAATAAGGGCCATGCCAGTTTCTGGATTTCCTGCTACTTCCAAGGAAGCAAAAATCTTCCAAGAAAGCAAATATATTTTCCAATGCTGCTTGAGGAAGTTTGGTATATGTTGTATATGTTGTAAATTCTTGACTGAATGCCTGAAAACACACATACACACACACAAATTTCCCATGATGTGGGAACTTTACTGGTATGCCATGTTTATTTCTTCCCATATTGAGTTTGGAGGATGTCTCTTCCCCATCACTCCTTGGATTTCATGCAATCTAGTCTTCTATAAGAATTAGATCCTGGTTTTTAGACATTTGTGATGTCACTTGGCTATTACTCCTAGTCTTACCAGAAGATGTAAGTATGTAAAATGTAGGAAGGTAAGAGATACACTATTTAGGCAACAAGTTTGGCTGTGTGACATTACTGTAGAATACACCCCCTTGATAAATATGCACAGAAAGTCAGCTGGCTGTGATAGAATAAGGAGTGATATCTGGATACAGACTGGCAAGCCAGATAGGGAAATAAGGAGATTTGTAGTTGCTCACGTAGCTAAAATAACCCACATTTTTGTATTATCCCTGCATAATCTGATGATTATCCATATTAAAAATGGAAAATATTTTTCCAGTCTATGTTCCAGTAAGTGACATGCAACTTAATCATTAATTCATGTTTCAGTTTAATATCTTTCTTTGAAATGTTCATTAAAATAAGAGATTTGTAAGCAACAAGATATGCCTCAATTTAGGATCTTCTAAGTGAATTTTCCACCAACTTCCATCATTTTCACCAACTTTCATCAACTTTCACCAATGATTGATTCTTCCATTTGGGTAGTGCCAAATCTTTCCTTCTTTGTGCATACAGTCTGATTTCATTACAATCAACATATACAAAAATACAATTATTTTATCCCTCTTACTTATTAGCATAATTAATTTATCTTGGGGCTGGTTCTGGAATTCCTGTAGCCCAAATCTTGTGAGGCTTCATTCTTCATGCACTGGGTAAATAGTCTGTTGGCTCAAAATTTTATGACCTCCATAATGGTCTTGTTTCAAGTATTAACAATTACATATTAGCATATGTAGATGGTGGAAGGATACTGGATCTTGTTTTTATTTCAGAGTGGATGAGATGTTCTTTGAATATGAAAGATATTGACACCTTCCTTGCCATCTTTATTGTGATGCTGGGTGGCTTACAAACATTAAAACTAGCGCACATTAAAATAATAAAACAATAAATAACAATAAATATAATTAAAATGGGGAAGAGGGGAATACAAAGCACACGGAGAGGTGAGGTTTTTTCCTAGTTCAATAGCCACCTCCAGAATGGTGCACCCCCTTTGGGGTCCTAGGCTAACTGGCAGAAGACTTCAGGCCCTTGTGAAAGATCAGAAGGGTGGGTACAGCTCTAACCATGGGGGAGCGGGGTTTGCACAATCATCCAAAGGACATGAGCCATACCAGAAAACGCTTTTCAGCCAAAAATCCTTGACTGACATGGCCCTCAGCACAGGGGAGGTGAACCAATCCCATTGGGGTGAGACAGTTCTTCAGATAACCAGAAGTTAGAAGTGATGAAATTGCTTTCTGTAGACTGAAAGGCAATCAATTCATTAGACAGTCCACCTAGAATTGAATCCTTAAATTTCCAGAGGGTTCTTGGGATTCTCCTGCTAATTTTGCAGACAGGTCTGTGCCTGGTTGATGTTTGGAATACAGGGATGACTAATACATTGGATGAAATTGCTCCTGCAAGGTTTTTCATATTTGCTGATCCTGGGAAGCCATCTGGTCCTTGGATGATTTTTGAGAGACTCAATGACTAAAAAGACTATTCCAACAACTTTGTCCCCTAGGTGGTTCTTGGTGGCCCATGACTTTGGTGATCCTCACTGGTCATAGTTTCTACTTGAGCAGCAAGTGAAAGCTATTATCAAGGAAGCCCTTCCTCAACTTTAACTGATATGCCAATTCCAGCCTTATCAATGCCTGCAAGCTCTGGGTTGTTTACACCCTGATTATTGCAATCACTCTATGTGGGACTGTGTCAGAAGAAAATTTAAAAGCTGCAACTGGTGCAAAATGTGGCAGCCTAGTTAGCTGAGGAAATCTACAGCAGAGATACAGCCATCTTGAGGTTACTGCATTGCCTTTCAGTAGGTTTCTTCATTCAATTCAAAGTGCTGGTTGTAACTTATAAAGGTATGTATGTATGTATGTTATGCAGGAAAATTTATATGGTCACCCAACTCATTTCCCAGAACAGCTTACAATAATAAAATCCCAATACAAAAACAATACCAAAAGCTATACAATACAAAAGTAATATAAAAAAAAAAGCAATATCCCAGCCCCTTGGTGAAAGCAATCAAACAAGCCACTTCATGGGCTCCATGTCATTCTTGGGTCCCCAAGCTCATTGCGGCATGTCTTCAGGGCCTTCCAAAAGGGTGTCAAAATGGGAGGAAATCCTCTCTCTGAAGGGATGATGTTACACAGGAAGGGAGTCACCATGGAGAAGGCCCTTCTCCAGATGGATCTTCTTTGGATCATTCCCTGTCTCCCCACTCTTGTGGCATAGGTAAATATGATTGGGAGAAGACAGTCTTTCAAATAACCTGGTTAAGGCTTTGAAGGTGAGAACCAGCACCTTGAATTGCACCTGGAAGCAGATCAGCAGCCAGCGCAGCTCTCACAAGAGAGGTGACCGTGCAAATCTGGACTTGCATGCAAGCTGCTGCTTTTTGAACTAAATGAAGCTTCCAAATAATTTTCAAGGGCAGCTCCACGTGGAAAGCTTTGTCATAGTCAAGACAGGTAGTTATTAGGGTATGGGTAACTGTGAGCAGTTGGTCCAAGAAAGGG